AGGATTACCCTGAGGCACGTACTGGAAATATGCTTATGATTACTGTTATTAATTAACATTTTATTAAAACCTTAATTGTGCAATGTGCATGCAGATCTAAAATCAAACATTAAAACCTTTATGGCGCATGCAGATTATATTTTGAGTTTAAGTGAAATCAAGGAATTTATAAGACTGGTTTATTCTTTTTTTTTTTTTAGAGCTGTAGAACATATCTGCGTTTGTGCATCAATGTCTGTAATGTGCGCTGTAGCTACAAAACTTTTAGGAATCTTAAGTTTTAGGTTAGTTAATATTGGTCAGTTGTATCTGACATAAATGTTCCAAGAAAGAAACTGTGACAACAAACATCAAATTAAGTGAATTAAAAGCAATAATTAGCAATATGCATTCACATAAGTGACTATTTATTTGAATGTATCAAGATGTGTTGATGCAAATGACTTTATTTTTTGACATTTTTTATTTTATTTTGAATATTTTGAATTTATTTTTATTTAATAATTATACAGTTTTATTGTACATTTTTTATTTTAATTTCAGTTAGTTTTAGTAATTTTGTTGTGCATTTTTGTCATTTTTATTAGTTTTTAATGTCTATATTTTTTTTAATTAAATTTCAGATTTAGTTATTAGTTTAAATAAAAATAAAAAATGTTTTAGCAACTAGCTAATTATTAATTATTAGCTAAGATAAAATAGAGAAGGAAGACTGCGTTACATTAAGTATAAATGGAGAACTTCTTGCAGCTGTAAAGTGTAGAAAAGAAACTTGTGTAAATGGGTCATTGTGCAGGACATATGTCCACAAATAACCACGCGTATGACTCATGCTTTAAAAATAAATCCTCACTTCAGTTTTCTGCTGTTTATGAACATATTCATCCTATTAGTGCAGCATCACATCTGTTAAAAAAACTGATTACTATCTTAATTGCGTCACACTTCAGTATCTTTATTGAGGACGCAAACAGAAGTATTTTACACAAGTTACATCTCGATGAGTGTGAAACAATGCAGAACCAAACTTCAGATCATGTGAATAAATTCCTCTAAATATCCAGATAGGACTTTATTTCGTTTATCAGTTTCTCTTGAAGCGTGTACATTTTTACCATGATTTACAGAAGACAAGACTTCCACTAAAATATCATTCTGTGTAACAATAGTTCATATACCCCAAAAAAACACTCGTCAGGCTTATTTAGAACAAGAATCATTAGATTTCATTAAATGACTTAATTATTAAAGGATCACAGTTCAGTCTTCAAAAACTAATAACTTGTCATTTTAATTCTTTACCAATCTTTGCCACTATCCTTTTAATGACTTGTTTTTTTTTTGCCAGCAATACATTTTTAAGCATTTAAAGTACCTTCACAGACATGACCCACTGTTTTTGTAACTCGTGTGTTTTTAACGTAAACTGTGTGTGTGAATGAGAACTTAGTTTAGTACTCACATGCTGTGACAGCCGCTTTCTGTCCGTGTGCTTCAGTTTAAAGTACCTTCACAGACATGACCCACTGTTTTTGTAACTCGTGTGTTTTTAACGTAAACTGTGTGTGTGAATGAGAACTTAGTTTAGTACTCACATGCTGTGACAGCCGCTTTCTGTGCGTGTGCTTTGGATGTGCGCTCTCAGAAAACCGTATATAAGAAGTTTAAACTCATATGGTTTAAACGCATGATTTCAGCGCGATAAACATAATAATCAGAACCAAAACAGATGTTTTTAGCAGATAGAGCTGTAAAGGCGCAGCTCTATTCTGGAAAAGGGGGTGGGGAGCAGCAGCTCATTTGCATTTAAAGAGACAGGCCCGAAAAACAGCGTGTTTCTGCTTCCACTCAAAATAGGCATTTATGATATAATAAATGATCTGTGGAGTATTTTGAGCTGAAACTTCACAGACACATTCTGGGGACACCAGAGACTTATATATTGTAAAAAGGGGCATAATATGTCTCTTTTAAACTACTATATCCTCTAGAACTCAATCAAGCAAGTAAGCTCAGGTTTTCTGTGACTTTTGAACTTCAGTTGCTTTGAAATGTTTTAATGATTCAAAATCACCAAACTGCTGTTTTCGTGATTATTGAGCAACTCGATCACCTCCTCGAGATTCATGATTACAAGCTGACTCTCGTTTAAGCTTTTCTTGCCATCATAAAGTCGCAGCTGCAAATCGAGAAGTGCTAAAAACAGAAGAGCTCAATGCATCGAATATCATGCAATTGGTTTCCTCTTTTTTCTATTCTCTTGCTTACTCAACATCTCATGGTTCAGCCCAGACACGTGCGTTGAAGCTCTCGCTCTACAGTCCATATCAACATACAGCACATGTCCCACAAAATCATTTACAAATGCAAAGAGATATGCGCTTTATATAACCCAGTGTTTCTCAACCCTGGTCCCCTAATCAAACACACCTGATTCAACTCATTAGCTCATTAAAAGAAACTCCAGGACCTGAAATAGGTGTGTCAGATAAGGGAGACATACAAAATGTGCAGTGTTGGGGGGCGCCCAGGACCAGGGTTGAGAAACACTGATATAACCCATAAAACTCCCTGAAAAAAGCACTTGGTTTCCCAAGTAAAGTGCGATCGTACATGAGTTGTTGTTGTGAAACTAGCGTCTTTGTACCTGCGAGTAAACACACTCCTCCTGGGGCTGCTGTCATTTCATTCATTTGAACAGAGTTAAAATGTAATACATTTACACAATCTTTGATAATATTCTAAATAAGAAAATCATTATATTGCAGCAAAACATAAACACTAATATTAGTTTACTTTCCGAGTAATTATCAGATTAATTATCAGAACAATCAACCGATAACTCTGTTACCAAATTAATTGTTAGTGACGGCCTTAGATGAGGGGTCTATGTCCGCACCTGCCAGGATCTGTGCTCGGATGTTGTGAGCCACTGGAGCATTTGGTGGGACGGGAAGTGATGTTGCAATGAAAAGAGAACTGTAGTAGAGAGCTGTGAGGGAGAGGAGCAGGGGCCGTGATTGCCAGCGGAGCCAGCCTCACGCTTAATATTGGCCTCTGGGGCTTGAGGTGGGAAACTGAGAGAAGCGTAAGAGAAAAAATGGAGGAAAAGAAAGAGATGTGAGGGTCTGTGTTGCGAGCGGAGGCAGCCTCACGCTTGCTTCGCCTGCTGTAGCTGTAGGCCACGGGACAGGGAAGTGGTTTGAGACATTTGACGGGAAATGCTGAAATGCCCGAGTAGCCTGCGGTGTTGCCAATTTAGCAATTTTGTTGCCAGATTTAGCAACATCTCGGATTACCCAAGCAACTTGTTTTCCAAAGCACATAGCAACAAATTTAGCTATTTAAAAATGTATTTAGCAACTTTTAACATGTTTTTAAAAAGTGATAAAATGCTAAAAAGACATGCATTTTCCTCTTAACCACACAAAGTAGAAAGTATTGAAAAGCCAGACAAGCGGCACATCAGCTAGAGACTTGGGGCGCGTCTCAGTCAGCTCCCTTGTTCAGTAGTAAGAGCACTGATCAGGGAGTCGGCCATTTTAATTAAGGGGTGTATCAATCGCGAAATCCTTCCAGTGCACTTCAACGTTCGCTCCCTGAAAAATCCCACAGTGCACTGCAAAAACTAGGGAGCATCGGCGCTCACTATGCTCCCTTACCGGAAATACACATTTCTGAAGCGCTAAACAAACCACATGAGCCAACTCGATAAATATAATGACACGCGATAGAAGATTTGAAAAGACAAACCGTTTTTTTAGTATATGTGATCCTGGAGCACAAAAGCAGTCATAAGTAGCACCGGTATATTTGTAGCGATATCCAAAAATACATTGTATGGGTCAAAATTATTGATTTTTCTTTTATGCCAGAAATCATTAGGATATTAAGTAAAGATCATGTTCCATGAAGATATTTTGTAAATTTCCTACCGTAAATGTATCAAAACTTAATTTTTGATTAGTAATATGCATTGTTAAGAACTTCATTTGAACAACTTTAAAGATGATTTTCTCAACATAAAAAAAATATATATTTTTTGCACCCTCAGATTCCAGATTTTCAAATAGTTGTATCTCGGCCAAATATGATGTATAAATCTTGACTGGTTTTGTGGTCCAGGGTCACATATTTCAACATAAACACACATCGCTAGACAGGAATTGAACTCATCTAATTAACATGTATAATTAATATTCGGCTGAAATGTTGTAAGAACATGTAACAGAACGATGTGTTTAAAGAGAATAAAAAATATAAAAATTAGATTGGCCCTGTCTGTTGTTTATTAATTCATGCGGTGACGTTCTACTATGTTGTCCGTTGACGTTGTACGTAATCATGTCACTGGAATTCGAGTGATCACTGTCCCAACGTGCAGCGAGTCAGGGAACTTACCAGTGACTGAATTCGTGTACACGATCTACTGATTCACGAGCTCGGGAGCTGATTGAGATGCACCCTTGGCGAGAGGTGCCTAGCAATACGCACATCACATGAGAATTAAGTTGCTAGTTGCACTTGTTCAATAATAATCGTTTCTTTATGATACCTTGGTTGTTAGTTTGTGCCTATAATTGTTAATCATTTAGGTAAATAGTTGTAACTTATTTTTAACTAAAAGTAACTTATTTTCTCGAAATCGATCTTTTTCATTAGTTTATCGGAGTGAAATGTGTAATTTAAGATACAGGTAAAAATGCTAGTGAAAATTAATTCAGAAAATCTGAGTAACTTCATTGTGTATTTTACACATTTTTTTTTGTTTGCGTCATGGTTACATGAGAGTAATATACAAGACTTTTTTATGAAAATATCCAAAAACCACTAGAACAGTGTTATATATTTTGCTGACTTGTGTACTTACATTATCCCAAATGTTTCAAAGAATGTTTAAATGCAGAGAAATAAGCAATTTTAACTAGTGACACGGAGCATGTCTAGCGGCGAAAATTACATATTGTGCCTTTAAGGAGAGCCGGGTCTTGTGCGGGGCGATGGTGGTGTCAAGCGAGGCGAGTTCAGGGCCTTGCGAGCTTTGCTCGAAATATTGGCCGCCCTGCTGGAGTGGATTTAGGAGTGAGGTTGGCTGATTGCTGGGAGGCGAATAACTTAGATCGTACAGATCCACTTTGTTTACCCTGCGCGAGGATGGTGCATCGGAATTAATCAGCATTTGCCTCAGGCTTAAATACGGTCCACTTTCTGATCGGAGGAATTGTTGGCATGGCCGAAAGATAAGAGGATTCCGGGGAAGAAGTTTGGAAGTGACGATGGTGGAGGCGAGGTTAAGCCTTGGCGTCGTGGAGAGTACGTGTGGCTGATCGAGCAGAGAGCTGGAGAAGCCTGGAGCTCGGCGGCCTTGTCTGGTGGAGAAGGAGCGATCCTGGGGCCGGCAGATTGGCCGGAGGATCCGAAAATATCCCCAGTATAGGTCTCGTCATTTGGACGGGACAAGTCAAGGAACAGAGGTAAGTCTGCTGTGTATATATACACACCTCTTATCTTGTTAATTGGGTTGATTACTGATTGTGCACCTCTCGTGTTAATTAGGTTAATTATCTGAACGTGCTCCTCCCGAACTTTGTTAATAAAACATAATTTATAAAAAAAAAAAACTCCCCAGAAAAAAAGGGCACTTTCGTTAGAGGAAGAAAAAGGGCACGTTCTCAAGCCCCCTTTGATGTCTATGTGTGCACACGCCTGCAGATGACCATGGACGTGAACGAGCATGGTGCTTAAGAACATGTGGGATTTCACATTTACATGGACACTTTTTGCTCCATCGGCATGAATTCATTCTGATTGACGAATCCGAACGTAGTGTTTACATGGACGATAAATAAAGTGATCGGGCTGATATGAGCGTTTATATGTCACAAGCTTCTGATCGGATTTAATCTTTTGACATGCGCACACTGCATGAATATACAGAGTTTCCCGCTGTTGTTGCATACTGTTTTAAAAAGCACACGTGATATTTATCTACTTTGGGTCCTAATTAGGCGACGACCAGCACATGAACTGTTGTGCTGTGCTGCTTACTTTAGAAAGCACTAAAAGTACCCCGGCCCACACCCAAAAGCAGTCGTCTGTGGATGATAGTCTTAAACAAGGACTGGTGGGACATTGTCCTGCTCCACTTCACAGACGCTGAGTGAAAGCAGCATTTTAGAATGACTGGACACTCATTTATCACACTTTATTCACCAGGAAGAACAGCTCGTTCCGCGTGTCATACGTCATTACGCTATTTCTACGTCACTGCACATGTGCAGTATTTTCCAATTTCGGTTTTCAATCCGATCAAGTGTTTACATGTCCTCTCGCTCAACTTAAAAAAATAAATTAAAGCTGCAAGCAGCGATGAAAGGGCCCTCGCACCCGGGCTCACCGCCACCTGGTGAAAAACAGCAAACGATGGGCAACATGCATTTAAAGTGATAAATGTAGGAGGAGTATGTCAAAGTTATTTATATGTGCCAAACTTCCTGCTGCCAGCTGGTGGCGCTGTGATTATAACTGAATGTTGGCATGTAGATGTCTTCAGGCCAGGACTTTTATCAAACATGTGAAGTCTGGTGCAGATTGAACATGGTATGTTTGAGCTAGTGCAAAACATGGCATATCCTGTTGCCAACAGGTGGCGCTGTAATTATAACTGAATATTGACATGTAGATGTCTTCAGGCCATTATTCTTACCAAAAATGTGATGTTCAGGGCAGATCGAACATTGCATGTTTAAGTTAGTGTAAACCAAGTCATTTCCTGTTGCCAGCAGGTGGCGCTATGATACGTAAATATTTTACGTTTTTTTTAGCTAAAAATACGAAGCGATTTGTACGTTTTAAACGTTGAAATACATCTAAATTGTACGTTTTGTGCTTGTAAATGTTACGTATTAATAGTGTTGTTTTTGGCGGATAACACACACACACAGTCTATGGATAATACACACACACGCAAAGAGCGGGATAATACGCAGAGAGTCACACCACGTGAAAGTAAATCCTGAGCGGCGAACTCATTTTCGGCAGCCGGAATTTCAGTGCATCTCTAATTATTGGCGACATTAGAAATGGATATTATATAATAGCTGCTTTTTTGAACATTTTAGCAATTTAAAAATATTAAAAAAGGATTTTTTACACGGCACCCCGGTTGGGAAACGCTGTTCTAAATAATGCCGCGAGTGGGGCTTGAGGAAGTGACGTCGCCTGCGTCTGCGCAGTGCGACCTGATGCAGCCCCTGAAGTGAGACACAGGAAACAGAAATACTGCAAAATAATAATAACGCGACTAAATGAGACGAAATAACGTTATAACATTTCGTTTTGTCTCATTTTGGTCAACGAAAATGAAGAGACATTTTAGCATAGTTTTTATTTTGTAAACCACATTTAGTCTCGTTTTTATTCGTCAACGATATTGCATTATACATTTAATTATAGTCATCGTCACATGACCAGCATTTTCGTCTCGTCTCGTTTTCGTCACGTGATAAAGGTTCGTTGACGACGATATTTAGTCATAATTTTCGTTGACGAAAGCAACACTAGGTATTAATAGACTAGGCTGTTATTTACGGTGTTATGGATCAACTGGGGATGTGCGCGTGCTCATGAGCTATTTTACTTAACTTTCCAGCAGATTCGTCAGATGCGAACTGCGAAGCTGCAAAGAAAACACATTTGGTACATTATTAATGTTCTTAATAAATGTTGGCACAACTACACTGTGCTGTTTCCTCAATACCTGTGCTAATGTATTCGACGCAGTTTAAGTGTAATTTTAACATGACGGTAACAGGGTTCACAAACCACGCCCACGTTATCTTGAGACGTTCACTTTAATAGAAAATGACGATTACGTTTAAACATAAGTTATACTATTCTATCCCAGGTGAAAAAGAAATATATTTAAATTGTGCTTTTTCAGACATACTTACTATATTTAAATTATACTATACTAAGTGCATATTAAATGTATTATTTTGAAACAACTTTAAGTATATTAAGTGTATTTCAAGATATGCTTAAGTTTGATTTGAATCTATTTGTAATATATTGAATATATTGAAATTGTGTTAAATTGGAACCACTTTAAGTATAATTAGTGCAATTTAAGTGTATTTCTTAAAATACATTTAAAATGTCCTTTTAATACTTCATGAACTACAGTTAGAGTATATTTGAAGCATCGTTTTAATTATATTTTTAATACATTTAATACTACGTCTTTTTCACCTGGGTATTTACAGTACATTAAATATGCAAAAAAAAAAGTTATATATTTTATTTAATAAATTATTTATTTAACAATATTGACAAGAGACTGTCTGAGTAAACATGAAATAAGAAAAAAAAAATAACATTATGAATCTGAGTAATTTATTATTTATTAAAATATTCACGCCATCCACGTCAGTTGCAATATTTGCACATAACAGGAGGGTTAAAAATGGGAAATGTCCTTCGCATCTAGTCATAACAGAGTTATGAGTTGTAGACGTGTTTAGTTTACATATTTTCACACTGACACTCCATCTGAAATACATATGTACGCTTTCTCTGATATTTGACACAGAACGCAATTCTGTTTGGGACGATTCTGTATTTTTATGGACACACAGAAAGATTCTAGATTAAGATTTTCAGTTTTTTGTTTTGTGCATCATCCCACTGCATGTATTATTTTTCTCGACATAGATTGCATTGTTACAAAATTCGAAACATGATCGTTGCAAATAAGTGAATTAGGCTACACTTGAGATATAATGCGTTTATTTGAGCAATAGCCATTTTCCACTTGAGTGAACGTCTCAAGGTAACGTGGACGTGGTTTGTAAACCGTGTTACCATGTGAAATCATGTTAAGATGGCATTAGAACTGCGTCGAATACATTAGCACAGGCATTGAGGTAACAACACAGTGTAATAGTTGTATCAACATTCATTAACAACATTAATAATGTACCAAACGTGTTTTGGTACATTATTGAAAAAGAGGAAACTTCCTCTTCAGATATTTCCTCATTGTGCTGTGAAGACGCTTGATGAGAGCCAGAACACAGACAGACAGAAGGCCAGCTTGATGAGAGCCAGAACACAGACAGACAGAAGTCCAGACGATCTGAAGCAGCATCACACTCTTCTGCTGGACTTCAGAGAAATTATGCTCATCTTTGGACTGATGCTGCTGCTGCAGACTGCTGCATGTGAGTCACTTTCACATCAAACTCATCTTATCATGCTGATCAATCAGATCAACCTCAGAAATAAAATACAGTAATATTAAATTAAATGCAAAACGGTAACACTTTAGTAGGGACCAATTCTCACTATTAACTAGTTGCTTATTAGCATGCCTATTATTAACATATTGGCTGTTTATTATTAAGCACATATTCTGCACGACCATATTCTACATCCCTAATCCTACCCAAACTTAACAATACCTACTAACTATTAATAAGCAGCAAATTAGGAGTTTATTGAGGCAAAAGCCATAGTTAATGGTTTGTTAATAGTGAGAATTGGACCTTAAAATAAAGTGGGACCTGCAAAACTTATAATAAAAGAGTTGGATGTTTTTGTTAAAGACCCCAAAATGTTGTGGACAAAACGTTTGTGGTGGAAATTCAGAAATAAAGTGCAGGAGTCTGAATTCCCTCCACAGCTGACAGATCTCAGAAATCTCCTTCTGTAAAGAATAAGTGCTGATTATGTACCAGAAAACATAAATAACGTTCACTGATTGATTAAACATACTACTTTAACTTTGAAGAAGCTTGCAAACTAAAATAGCATTTTATATACAATGATTGCGCTTCTATTCTTGTTTTCACACATTATCACGTTTCAGCTTTATCGCTGCTAACAGATCTCTAACTTCCTCTTCCCTCTTTTTTATTTGCACATAACATGCCTACTGTATATATATATATATATATATATCAGTAATAGTTCATTATATTTTATAATTTTTTCCTGCAGT